TGTGTGTGTGTGTGTGTGTGTGTGTGTGTCTATCTGTGTAGGAGAGCCACGCTGGCTCTGTGTTTGATTTTGTTCGTGTTTTTCTATATATTGGAATATAAGGAGAATTCTCTAACCCTAACCCTTCTCTGACTGACAACCTGACCATTTGTGTGCCCATTTTCTACATCTACTCACCTATAACCCAGTCAGAACTTTCATAATGAGCCATCCTACGTATTCATTTCCACTTCCTGCCCTGAGATGCTGTCACTAGCTCCATCTGGGCAGTCAACCATGGCAGTTCCACTAATGGTGCACCAGCTTGTTGCTTTTTTAAGGTTCTTCTGCAGCTCTGCTCTGTTAGAATTGGGCTATAATTACTCACTTTAGCACAATATGTTATCATTTAATCCATGTAAATGACTGATTGTCTTATTCCTATTTATATTCATATTATTCCCTTTAGAATTCTATTTTTGGGTTAAACTCTCTGGCTGTGCCTCCTCCTCCTCTCTCTGTTACAGTAGATACTCGTCTTCAAGCTCAACATCCACACTTTCTTATCACATTCCACCTAAACCTGCATGAATTAGGACCTGGCCTGTTCTTGTCAGAGCTAACTGGCCAATAACACTTGTCCTCCTGTTCGAGGCCCAGAGGAAAACTGTCCATCACACCTGGAAATCGAGGCTCTTGCAGACTGAGAACCACCGGGAGCTTTGTCTGTGAGAGCCTAGTGCTCATTTACTTTGCTTGTGACCAATAAATGTCATATTTGTACTTTTGATCTGCTCTGGTTTATTGTCAGGCTTCCAACTAAAGAATCAGGCTCTGAGGTGCCGGTCTTCAGGCTTTGAGACTTTAAAATGCCAGGTCAAACTGTAGCCTCAAAAGGTTGAAGGAGGTGATTGCAGATGTGATCAGATGCAAATGGAAAACAGAGCAGGAGAATAAACGACACAATCCAGAACAGCCTTTAAAGACAAAACCAAACGGATCGTGCACAATACTGTTCAACAAGTCTGGAACAGGGGTAGCATGAACATTACAGAGAAAAACTAATCCAGATCATGACCAGATGGAGCTAGGAGAAAACAGAGCTAGGAGAAAACAGAACTTGACATCAAATCAGCCCAAATCCACCAACAATGACATTATAGTCCAGTTCTTAGCTCCACTGGCGGGTTCCTAGGCCCTCGCTATGGCTGTGCGTTAAAAACTGTAAAAATAATACTAAAATAAAGAAAAGTACATAAAAAATCCTCTCTTTACATTTTGTTAGTTTCCACACGACTTCCAAAATGAGATTAACATTAGAGATTAGCATTTCATTGGACAATAAAGTCTCTAGTCACATAATGATAAATGATTAACCAAATTGCCCTAAATTAAGCAGGCTATTCATTTGGTACCCATACAGTCATCATCAGACCTCATCAGCTCGCCTTTGGAAGGAGGAACAGCAGCTCCAGTCTTTGGCCAGATTGTGAAACCATTCTTGTGTTAATCAGGCCAAGTACATTTTCTGAGTTTTTTGTCCAATTTGGACAAGTCTGTACTCATCTGTTCACATTTCGACCTGCAAACCGGCTCCCCAGACGCCCTGGACTTTCCGGGTTTTCGTTTGTGACCGGGCCTCCTCATCGTTCCCCTCCTGGACCCACATGTTATGCGAATATTCGTTCCGTATATGATCTTTTTTGGGACGTTTCATGTTGCTCTTTTGTCCCGTAGTAGTTTGCTAAAGCCTCAAAATGTCAGAACTGGAGTCAGATGCGGAGATAGCAATCAAAAAACTTGAATAGAAATAAAGACGCACTCTGTGGGAGTGGAAAGGCAAGACTAAAAGTACAAAATAATAATCACTCAATAATGAGGACAGACTAGGAAAGTAACAAATAAGGATCAATCAAATCGAGGCAGGCAAAGCTATGAACAAAGTACCAAATAATAAGCTCTCCAACGTAAGCAGAACAAAACTGTGGACAAAGGCTGGGAATCGAGGCTGAAAAAGTATGAAGTACCAAAATAATAATCACTCAATAAGAGGCAAAATCGGGGAGATTCAAGACAAGGCTTTTCACGGACAAGGTTAGCGCACAGTTTGGGTGAGAAGACTACACACACTGGCACAAGACAAGGGGAAACAGACTATTTAACACATGGAGGGAAAGGAACTCCAGGGGAACACAATCAGGGATTAGGGAAGACAATCGAGAGGAGGATTACTTATCAAGATAAAACAGGAAATGACAAGACCACATGGAGACAGGATGGTAAAAAAAAACAACTAGACCTCACCAGTGTGGCACAAAATTGTTTACCAGCTAACTAAATCTCCTCTTTGGGCTGAAATTGGCTCCTCTAATAGCTTTAACCTTTTACAGTTACCTACTAAATGCAGGTCAACCCATTATTTCTTTACATTTTCGTCATCTACCAAACAGTTACAATGTTAGAACACAGTAAAAACATGTAAAAGCAACTTCCTGTCATTCCCAAAGCAGACTGGATTATCCACATCATATCGTTATACAACAGTTCAAAGGCAGCTATGGCCAAATCCCCTTTGTCATTTCTAACAATGGTTAATCATCATGTAAAAATGGTAATGAATCCATGTTACAATGACTTCCTACTACTATTCGGCCGGGGCATCAAATAATGAACGCAAATGATACAAGATCACTCCGTAATTACGTCTAAGCAGTGGACGGTCGAGCTTTGATTCAGATTCGAGAATTATCATCCAGGCTCATTAAATTGTGCGGCGAGCCCATCAGTAGTCAAATCTGCAGCTCCTGATTTTCCGCAGCGTGCACGCTCCTGTTATATATCAAGATTTTGACATTTTCACCTTAGAAATACACACCGATCACCAAATATGTAAAATGGCTAACACTACAAGTTGTGGCCATAACAAAACTAAAAAATAAAAGATAAACATCATCTAAAAATGCTGGTTATTGGTCTCCTTGAAGGATATTTGAGAGCTACCAACACATTTATGGACCATGGACATTAATATTGGCGTTAAATCTGGTTTCTTTTTTTTTTTTTACATTCATGGTTTGTAAGCTGGGAAAATGGAAAAAAACTAAACCGAAAAGCTTGAATGCAGTGTCGCACTAAACATTTATCTGTCAATTTTTTTTTAAAAACCCGTAAGCATTATCGGTCTGAAGTGTACCAATGATCTTCATTTGTCATGTTGGATATAGACTAAAACACTCAAACTACTTTTAACCGACCCATAGATATTAATAATTTATTTCATTTTATCTTCTACTAGAAATTTTGATATGTTACAATTTTTTCTTTTGCTATTATTATTTCAAATATTTGTATTGTGAAGCAGAAAGAATATCACAAATACTTCCATTTTCGATCCATACAATGCATGTAAAAAAAGTGTCTACAATTAGGTAAATAAATGAAAAACAAATGGGAGAAATCTTAGAAAAATATACACAAATAAGTGAATAACACCTTTATTAAATTAGAAATTAAACCTAAATAATCATTTAAAAAACACCTACCCCTTCCCACCCACCCAGTACTACACCAGTCGTCCACAACCTTTTCTTTTGAAATTCATCCCTGTAACACCTCATCCATTCTTCTGCACATGAACAGACAGAGGTTAGAGTTGGGGCTGGCTCAGGTGGACCTGAAACAGCTCATATTTATTCAGGTTTTTGGCCTGGAGCTCCCACCTTTCCCCCCTCTGTTGTCTTTTCCCTTTTTTCCCCAGGAACATGTGAAGTTATTGATGTCCTGAATGTGTATTCCTCCTTCTCCTCCACTCTCCTCCTGTTGTCGTGTATGTTTTCCCTCTTTCCGGTCCTTCCAGAACGCTGGTCAGGGACCAGTCAGGACTGGGATTGGGTCAAAGTGAAGCTTTTTCCATTTGTTGATTTTCATAGCAAGGAAACTTCCTTTTTTTTTTAATGGACTCATTCAAAACTTGAATTGATGGGATTAATAATTGGACACTCATTGTCTTAAATTGGAATGAATCACTGAAGGGCCCAGATATGGAAAGATGGTATTTGATGTTAATCAGTGCTCTATAAAATAATATGAAGTGAACTGAATGAATTTATCTTTTATGTTTCCATAGTGGTGTGATACATTGAATATTAATTAATTGATTTTGCATTACCAAATGAGTTGAAAGTGCATGTAACAGCATCTATCTATCTATCTATCTATCTATCTATCTATCTATCTATCTATC